AAATAATATAACTCAAATATGTATATAAAGGCTCCAATTTTGCCTAGGAATTGGCAGGCTTGAACATATATTTTATTGAATAAATAACTTGATCTTTGAAAAACAAATCACTATTGCCTCTTTCGTCTGACCTCATATATCTCAGAACTGTACTAATTTGTATGCTTCTAGGAACTTTAGCATACCACATTGGTCCTGTCCATCTAAAGTGCCTCCCTTCTACTAGTTCTCTGTCTTTATCTTTCTCCTGAGGTAGAAACGATATATGACAATATGTTGAATTGATGAAATATCAATAATATTGATTTGTGAAAGGTGAGAATTTGATAATTGAGTTTTTTGAATTGTGAAAATAGATTTATAGAAGTTGTAAAAAATTTGAAAAGTTTGGATTATATTGTAAATGTTTGAAATAGTAATGAAATATAAGATTTTATATTTTTTCTATGATTTATAGGTGAAGAAAAGAGAGATTTGTTAATCGGTTTTGAGTATGTAGTAAAGAAATTATAGTTTTTTAAATTGTTGAAGAAAAAAATAATAATGATTATATATAGAAGTAAGAATAGTAGACTTGAATTAAAGTTTGTTAAAAAAGATTTATAGTATTGTATATAATTTCAGATAATAATTATTATATTGAATTTGTATTTAAAAGTGAATAATATTTCAAGGGTGGTGTTAATATATTGGAATAGAGAATTAATAATTGATTGTAATAATAGAAACCAATATTTTTGTTTTAGTAATTCAAAAAGGTCTGTATTGATTAATATTTATAAATTGTTAATATGTGATTTTATAGAAAATATATATAGTAGATTAGTTTGCATAGCTTTTGTTTTTAATTGTATTGTTATATTGAAATTTGGTAAAGAGATTTAATAAGTTAAAAGAAATTAGAAGTTGACATTTATAGGTATTTGCAGGTATATTGAATAGGTAGTATATGTATTTGAATAGCATTATTGATATGTTAGAATCTAGTTTATTATAAGTTCAATAGTTGATAATAAAATTGTTTTGATTGGTTTTTTGTTTTTTCCCTATTGTTTATTAAAATTGCAAGTTATTTTTTTTTTGTTTGATTTAATTGGATTCGTGCTTGTTTGTTGAAATTGTTGATATGAAAAAAGTTTAATCTATTGTTGGGCCAGAAAACGGCGAGTCAGTCGCTTTACCGGTTCAAAGTTCGTGTTACTAAAGGTAAGTTGAGGCATGTATGATTGATTTAGCTGGGCAGTGCTAATTAACTTCTCTTCTTTTCTTTCCCGGCACTTGTTTCTCTCTTGATATCCCAGGCTATGTCCTTTTAGCAGCGGTTATCCTTTCTAAAATGGCGCATACTCGAAAAAGGTAAGTTGTTAATTATTACTTTCTCTTTATGGCAACTCAAAGTAACTATCATTTCTCTTTTAATCTCCTTTTATTAATTTACTTTGTGCGGGTTTGTTGTATGTCTTTTTTCTATACTGTTGCTATTTATTTACCCATTCGCTTATTAATTATTAATCCCACAGCTATATTATTGATGCATAAATTGATAAGGCTAAACTATCGGGGCTAAAATAAACTATGGGTAAGTTACATAAGCCTCTATGACTACATTCCCTATGCTAATTACTAATGCTATCCTAAATTTCCAGAGTACGCGACGCGATAGTCACGGTACGTGACTATACCATGTGACTTTTACCAGGCTAACACTATAAAGAAATTTTTCTGTGCAGATTGTAGCCAAGTCTGACAAATATATGTTACTTGTTTGTAATGATATTATTGTTATAGATTAATAATTGTTTATGATAATATATGTTTTTATTGAAAGTTGTTTTGTAAAGATTATCTCATTTTTGTCTGATTTTATCTTCAGCTAATCACTCGGAACTTGATAAAATAAAGATTCATTTTTTTATTTATAAGATTCATCCATAGATTTTTTGCAGTGAGAGGTATTAATATATTAGAGTGATTTTTTTTTATATTTTGTATTGGCAGTTTGTTTTAGAGCAATATATGATATTGTGATAGTTGATAATTTGGATTGTGAATGTTGTGATATTGTATTTAAAGATTTGTTAGTTTTGAAAAATGTAAAGAGATTGGCAATTTTGAATTTGTATAGTGTTGGGCTGAAAAATGGCAAGTCAGTTGCTTCACCAGTCCAAAAGTATGATTATTAAAGGTATGTTGAGGTGTGTAAGATTAATTTAGCCAAGGCTTTTGTTATTAACAAGCTTCTCTCTTCTTTTCTGACACCAGCTCTTCTCTTGATAATTCTAGGCTATGTTCTATAGCAGCGATTATTTTTTTCTAGATGGTGAGTACTTAAAAAAGTAAGTTGTTAATTACAGCATTCCTTTTCTGACACTTCAATTTTACTAATCACTGTGTTTATTAATTGCTCTATTGTTTTATATTTATTTCTCTCTTTTTCTATTTTCTATCTCAACTTTCTATACACTCTATCTATTGTTCACTTTACAATTGTTTGCTATTTATATTATTGCTACTACTAAAAAACAATTAAGTGAAAATAGACTATCGGGGCTAAACAAACTATGGGTAAGTTATGTAAGCTTCGATGACTACATTTCCTATGCTGATTATTAATGCTACTTCACATTTCCAGAATACACAATGCAGTAGTCACAGTACACGACTATACCATGTGACTTTTATAGGATTAACAATAGCAAAAATTTATTATTCTTTTGATAGTTTGATGATAGAGTTGTTAATGAATATTGTAGATTGGAAGTTAGAACTTCTGATTGTAATCTGAAATATGTCTAATATTAAATATGTGTGGGTTATAAAACCATAACCGAGGAAGAGTTTTTTTGATATTGAATTTATATTTTATTGTTGAATTAATTTTTTTTGAATTTCTTTGAGCATATTTGGAGTAAGAAAGGTTGTTTATAATTTGTATTCAATACATGAAAGAAGGACTTTGTTATAGATATAAGCTTTTATATGGCCTGTTATAAATTTGAATTTAAGTACTGTTGTTGGTGAAACAGCAAGTCTGTCACTTGGGGCAGGTCAAACTCACATAACATCAGAGTAGGTTGTTCTCCTTTTTTTTACTCGAGACATGAATTTGACTTAGCTAATCTTGAACCTATAATTAACCTTCTTCTTTTCTTTGTCACCCTTCGTCAATTGTTCAAGTCACTATTCCTTTTAGTAACTACCAGAACAATCCTCTCGTGGCGACGTTACTCTAGAAGGAGGGATTAATTGCCAACTTCCTTTTTAGGTGTGTCTATTACACTATCACTTATAGTAACTGTAATTAACATTTGCACAACCATTTCGCGCTTCTACAAGAATGGTAATTATGTTTATTACTTTTTTGTGTTTTAAGTTTTTTGTTGTTATTGTGTTGTTTTTCTTTTTTTATCCTCACTCCCTTATTTATATCACTATGACTATCTGCTATAGGACTATAACTTTATGACTCATAAACTATCAGACTATAAAATAAACTATCTAAACTTTTCATTACATCATGAGTCTATTTCTAAAGCATTTCTGTTACTCTGATTAGGTGTGTTACACGAATGCCGTATCACCAGGCCTTACGGAAGCAATTTCCTCACTAACAATTCCCCTCTGCTTATTTTTGGCATCCTCGCCAAAGACCTTGTTACTCCTGGAATTCAACAGGTCTTCCATGGTGGTGGTGTATCAGATGGTTGGATGTCACATGGCGACTCAATGGTGCAGACATCTAAGTTGCTGTTCCCGTTACTTATCATAATTCCCAGTTCATTTTTGATTTCTTTTATCATGGCCGGATTATTAGTATTTAAGCTTTTATAGCCTTTTTTTCCATTATACCTAATTGCACACATAAATTCGAGATTATGCTTTTTGTCGATGATGTTATGAGTTTGAGTAATCTTACGAGATTGTTCTAGCTGGCTTCCTGATCCGATTTCCTAATGAAGTAGTCAATCCTTCCATTTCTTTATAGTTGTATCAGGGTTCCAAGATAAGTATGGCTGGTGAATAGAATTACGTTGGATTGTCCTTGACTTCACTCTAATAGGTGTTATGGTAAAGTATAGATAAGTCCCATCCCTTTTCCGTTTCTACAATAAGTAGGCAATTATTCTCCTAATCCTTTGTTTACCATTCCAGTGCCTTTTCTTAGCTCTCGGGTAATGTTTGTTAGTTGTGGATGTCATCAATTCCTTGACTTGTGGTCTAAATAGTAAAACGAATCATGATTTCTCGTGGTCACATGCTGCAGCTTCTCCGATATTATTCAATGTCAGTTGAGCCATTTGCGCATTGGGTTTTCAAACCATTTGTTTTTTCTTGGCTGTATTATTCACATTATCCTGATTTTCGGAATGTATACCACATGTAGAAGTCACTCTGTACATGTGTGTCCCTTCCATCGTTATTGATGCTATTCTTTCACTGGTGGTTTTCTGTATGTCTTGCCTGATATGTTGCACATCACAAACAATTGGGACATCATCATGATTTCGCACCACCATATCCCACTCAGGGTTTAACATGGTTCTTCTGACTATATTGTCGGTTAGCAGCCTCCTCGTGGAGCAGCTTACCTGGACCATTTTGTTTTTGATCATCATCATCGTGCGGAGTGCTAATCTCATGAAGATGTCTGAGTGTGTTTTCATGAGCTTTATTTTAAACTTGTGATAGAACACATCCATCAATCGTTGCCACGCCACAGAGATATTACATGATCTGTAGGTCTTATCCCCAGGTGCATGCATTTTTCAAGTGATTGCTAACATTGTTTCGTTTCTCGTCCCTTCCTGATTCTCATCACATGACGTTAACAATTCTTTCCTTTGCACGGCATTGAGTACTTTTATCGTTCCCTCTTGTTTAAGCCATTCTTCTGACTTTTCATCTTTATTAAACTTCTCATCCTTTTCTTCCACTACTTCCAATTGGTCTCCCTTAATTGATTGATGTTGACGATTCTCTTCGACAGATGAAGTGTACGACGGGGCCTGAAACACTGAAACGTGTTTTGATGCTGAACTGGGATTTGTCGAATACTTTCTTGGAAACAGGAGTTTTCTTCTCAGTTTTATTGACCGTTTTTAGATTACTCTTGGTTGTTACCAACGTTTCTTCCAGTTGGAAGAGTCGTATGATGGCATCTAAGATCTTTGGTTGCGTTTTATCATTGGAGCTGACATCATTACACCTCTCTTCTTTCTCTTTGCAAGCCCTTAACCGTCATTCCAATTTACCTTCTTCTTCATCGTCCTTTACTTTTTCTTTCTCAATAGGGCATTCATTTCATGGAGTGCTTTTATCAGTTGCATCACAGCGTCTTTCGTGGTTGATCTCGTCAACATGTATCGTATTAGTTTCACTACTCGGGATTAAATTCCTAGTCAGACCTTCTGTGACAATTACCCGCTCTTTATCAACGATTGCACTCATAATTCCTTTTAGTAAGAACGTGTCATCATGATTACATCTCAGCTTTCGGGGCTCGAACTTCACATTAACTCTTGGATAACTCTCCTGTACCGGTCCAGACTTTGGCGCAATCTTTCCTTTTGTGCTCTTGTCTTCTCCGAACAAACCAAAGCATTTAGCATAATAATCTTTTACATTCTTACTGTCACTCTCAGCCTTATTATCGTTTAAATCCAAATCCTTTACCCGACCTTTTATGTTAGGTTTTTGCTTAATAACATAAATACTCATCCTTTTCAGTGAAGGCATGTCGTCATCATCGCACTCAGATCCTTGGACTTGAGAATTCATCTTGGTTCTCAGATAGCCCTTCTTCATCATCGTGGACTCTGGCACGACCTTTCCTTTTCTGTCCTCACTTTTTCCAAATAATCAGTGGCACTTAGGTTGATGGCTCTCTTCTTCACTCTCGTCATTACTTTTAGCTTTGCTGAATCGTGTCATGGTGGGTCGGGGTACCTTCCTGATAGAATCGTTCTTTGTTGGATAATTCTTATCACAGCGATTTTCTTTTCCACACCTGATACACTACTCGACTTCCATATCAGATGCCCTGACTTATTTTCATCAAAAACAACAGATACGTTACACCTTTCTATTAGTTTTTGTATCTGGTTTCTCAGTTTTTGGACATGGTCTTCTAGCTCTTTTTCTTTCTTTGCTTCTTTTTTAGCATTAGCTTCAGCTCTGATTACCGCTTTGAGTGCTTTTCTCAGGTCAGTTGCGTTCCTAACGGCAGGTATGACTAATAAGTCTTTCTTGAGTCTGAGTGCAATTACCTATTCAACTGCTTCCTTGTAGTAATTTCTCCTAGGGTAGACCTTCTCAAGTAGCTCCTGAAACCATCGAATGTATTCTAGCACTTTTTTGCTCTCTTCTTGTTTTATGTCTTCCAACTCTGTTTGTCATTGGTGCCATTGTTCAATTATCTCAAAGTGGTAGATGAATGCTGGTACGAAACTTTCCTTGTGGTCATACTCGTTGTTCCAATAGTTGAAACAGTACTGGTATTCATCATACCATTTTAACGCGGTTTCCTCCAAATAGTTGGCCACTCTATTCAACTTATTATCATCTGTCCAGTTGTTGCAGTCGGCAGCTTGGTTATAATGTTCTACCCATTTCCACAACTCTTCTCCTGGTTCACTTTTAAATTTAGGTGATTTGATGTAACGACTTTCTTTTTCTCTAGTTCTTTTCATTCTTGTTTCTTGTGGAATAGTGACAGCATTTCTTGATTCTTTCTGGCCATTTCGACATAGAGAAGTACAGAAAGTTTTCTTATCCACATACTCTACGATTTCCAACATTTTTGCCATTTTTATAATCAAGACAGATCTTGAATGAATCACGGGTTTTCCAAAGAATGTAAAATTTGTTTATTTTTTTTTCCTGAATTTAACAAATTTTAATCCACACAATTTTTTTGGAGAGGGGGGTAACGAGACGTCGTATCTCACAGTCACCACCAAATTGTTGTTGGTGAAACAGCAAGTCTGTCGCTTGGGACAGGTCAAACTTGTGTAATGTCGGGGTAGGTTGTTCTCCTTTTCTCTACTCAAGGCGTGGATTTGACTTAGCCGATCTTGAACCTATAATTACCTTCTTTTTTCCTTTGTCACCCTTCGTCAATTGTTCAAGTCACTATCTCTTTTAGTGACTACAAGAACGATCCTCTCACGGCAACATTACTCTAGAAGGGGGTTAATTGCCAACTTCCTTTTTAGGTGCATCTATCACACCACCACTTATGGTAACTGTAATTAACACTCGCACGACTGTTTTGCGCTTCTACAAAAATGGTAATTACATTTATTACTTTTTTGTATTTTAAGTTTTTTGTTGTTATTGTGTTTTTTTTCTATTTTTATCCTCGCTTGTTTATTTATATCACTATGATTATCTGCTATAAGACTATAACTTTATGACTCATAAACTATCAGACTATAAAATAAACTATCTAAACTTTTCATTATATCATGAGTCTATTCCTAAAGCATTTTCGTTACTCCAATTAGGCACATTACACGAACGTCGCATCGCCAGGCCTTACAGAAGCAATTTTCCCGCTAACAGTACCTAAGTTATTGTTTTAATGTCTTTTAAGATTTTATTGAAATTAAGATGAAGGATATTGTGTTAAAGAGTCATATTTCTAATATTCTAATTGGTTTTTTTTTGAGGTAAGAAAAATAAAAGTTATTTCTTGTTTGAATTTCTTGATAGTTATTAAATTGTTTATTGTTACTAGTTTGATTTTGTTGAATTGACTTTAATATTAGTAAGTTTGAAAAATTCAGTTGCTATGTTAAGTTTGTTTTGGATTTTAATTTTTGTAGATGCCAGAAGATTGAGATTGTTCATATAAGCTATAGTGTTATATTTGAGTTAAGATAGTTATTGTAATAAGACTGTAATTAAAGAGTTATAAAATATGATTCACCATAAAAGTAAGAGATTTCTCCTTGATCAATTCTATCAGGAATAATAATTGATTAAGTGTAGCCTAAATCTATAATAATTTGACAAAAGGGATCTATAAGAATGTTACTTGTAAGTGAAATCAAGATATTTGGAATATGAAGATATAGCATTGATTATTTAAACATTTTCAGGTTAATAGAATCAAAAGCTGCACTAATGTCAAGTAACAGAATTTATGGTTCTTTTTGTGTAAGTTTTCTAGTATTGTGAATTGAATTAAATATTTGGATAGATTTGAATATGCTTTGGTTAGTAAGGCCAACAAAGTTGAATTCTTGGAGAACTTTGCATTGTTAGTGGTGAAATTGCTTCAGTAAGGTCTGATGATACAACATTCATATAATGCACCTAATCAGAGTAACAGAAATACTTTAAAATAGACTCATGATGTAATAAAAAGCTTAGATAGTTTATTTTATAGTCTAGCAGTTTATGAGTCATAAAGTTATGGTTCTATTGTAGATAGTTATAGCAATATAAATAAAAGAGAAAAGGAAACAACAAAAAGAGATAATTACATAACTTAACTTCACTTTAATAAAATTTAATTACCATTCTTATAGAAGCATAAAATGATTGTGCAAGTGCTAATTAAAAGTTACTATAAGTGGTGATGTAATATATGTGCCTAAAAAAAAAGTTACTAATTAACCTACCTTTTGAAATAACATTGCCATAAGAGAATCGTTCTAAAAGTCACTAACAAGATTTGTAACTCGAAATATTGAAAAAAGATGACAAAAGAAAAAAGAAAGTGAGTAAGTGATAGTTTAAGGTTGGCTAAGTCAAATCTACATCTCAAGTAGAGAAAAGAAAAATAACTTACCTTGACATTATGTGAGTTTAATCTGTCTCAAGTGACAGACTTGCTATTTTAACATCAACAATATATTGTTAAAATGTAACTAAGTCTTTTAATAAGAATTTTTGTTAAAATTTTTCTGAATGAATCAACAAGTACAATAAATTTAGTTTCTTGAATGCTATATTTCCATTGAAGTTTTTTGCTAATTGAAAAGATATAATAGTTTTTTTAGTCTGTTGAAATTTCTTGTAAGAAAATTATTTGATTAAATATTAAATAGATATAGTAAAGTAGTATTTTTTGAGTTTGTTTAATAAATAAGTAATTAATTTTGAAAAGGTCCTAGTACTTTGTTATGGAAAAGTGAATTAATTATTTTTATAATTTCATATTCAGTAATTGGACTCATTGGTGTATTATAGATAAAGTAATTGATATTGTTAAATGGAGTATAATATTTTTCTTATTTAAGAAGAAGTTTATTGTTAATGGGTTATTTGTAAAATACTTTTTTATAGTGGTTGGTAATTGTTTAATAAATTAATACTAAATTGCTAATAACTTCTTTGTTAATTAGATCAATTATTTTTATAAAGGATACATAAGAATTTTTATGATTAAGTATTTGCTTAATAATAATTTTTGGTTTCTCTTAAAGGTTTATTATATATTTATTAAAAATTTTATTGATTATTTCTTTATTTTATAGATTATTTTCAGTTTTGAAAGATTTGTGAATAATTTTAAATAATTTTTTTAATGAGTTAATTTGATTATTTTTGTCATAATATAGATGTTTAATATTTTGGAGATTTTTTACACTAGTCCAAATTAGGTTGATAATAAATATTGTAACTTTACTTTATAAACATTTTAATTAAATAGTTTTTCTTGTTGTTTAGACATTTTAGCAAAAATTAATTTTGATTAAATTAATAAAGATATTTATATAAAATTT